ACCCCCATAAAATAAGATCAGCACAATTGCCATTCCGCTTAATTGGGTTGTACTCTGAACCGCTGAAACGGTTGAACCATTGAAGTGGATTAAGAGACAGGACCAGTATCTAAGATTAAGAGAGAGATATTATCATTACAATGACAATGTCAAGAACGACAGATTGCAAAGATCAACGGCCAGCATCATCATTCAATCTGCTGCATACATGGAGCGGTGATCAGGATTCCACGTCCTCAACCCCCACCGCAGAGAGTTTGACGGACCATCGTCACCGTCAGAAGCAACACACAACAAATTCAGACTATCAAGCGAAGTGAAAAAGAACGCAACTTAGACAGTAGCTAAGTCTTCTGGAGGAGGGGGGGGGGGGGGGGGAAAGCAACTCGCAAACAAAGCATCTTTCTCTTCGAAAGCACCAACAGTTCACGCCATAGCCAAGGCTTCCACTCCTCCCTCCTTCCCCCCCCCTCTCCTTCCCCTTCCCCCTCGTCTTGCCTGTTTGTCCCAAGAGAACAGTCCCAGCAATTTTCCGATGCCTGGTGAACCGCAGGCAGAAAGGGAGAAAAGGACAAGAAGTAGGGAACTGTGACAGTCTGTTTTGTAGGAGTTCCACGCACTCATCAAGAGGCTGGACCTTCTACAATCTGCAGAGTCCCTTAACCAATACATATATAACAGTTTATCACAGCCCCTCGTTTGTTGTCCTCTTCTCTCTCTGTGCCTACGGTTTACCGGGCAGTTCTGTTTGTGACGATATATTGTCACATAACTATGAACTAAAAGAGCGCAATTTGTGAAACAAACGGCAAGTCAATAGCATATATATATATCGTCACAAAYAGAACTGCCCGGTAAACCGTAGGCAGAGAGAGAGAAGAGGACAACAAACGAGGGGCTGTGACAAACTGTTTATATATATATTGTCACATCACTACAAACTAAAAGAGCGCACTTTGCGGAACAAAGAATAAAAGCAAAAAACGGGCACAGTGATAACATGCAAAAATAAAAATAAAAAGAAAAAACAAGGGCAGATTGAAACCATTAAATTTATCATTCTTCTTTGAACTCCACCTCCACTGTGCCTCTCACTTGCAAGGCTCGCCACGTTGATGAAGTTGAGCGCGAGCTGCCCCCATCCCCGTATGCCATATATATATATCGTCAAATAGAACTGCCCGGTAAACCGTAGGCAGAGAGGGAGAAGAGGACAACAAACGAGGGGCTGTGACAAACTGTTTCGTCGGAGTTTCACCGACTCATATGCTATTGACTAAGCACGTGAAGTAGAAGAAGAAATAAGATGAGGGAAGGGTTAATGAGCCATACATACATAAGAGAAGGGTTTGAACTTCAAACAGGGCCTCTTTTAGGGATTCATCACGATCGCATTCATGGAAGAGAAAACTTAGCATCTTCCAGAAAGTGCTGTTAAAGTTCTTTTTGTTGCCATGGCGTTGATATGTACAATAAATAAGATAAGATAAGATAAGATAAGATAAGATAAGATCATGACACTAGATTGTGTTAAGATGACTGAAGAACGAGTACATTGTGGTCCCAGTGAAGGTTTAGAGAGTTCCAGCCTGTTCTGGTGAACTTGAGTTGCTATCTTTTGAGTAGCCGTCCCTGCTAAATATATATATATGCTCTGTAAGCAGAGTCCCTATTCCGAATACATGTATTTAGCAGGGCAGGCTACTCAAAAGATATCAACTCAAGTTCACCAGAACAGGCTGGAACTCTCCAAACGTTCACCGGGACCACAATGTACTCGTTCTTCAGTCATCTTAACACAATCTAGTGTCATGATCTTATCTTATCTTATCTTATTTATTGTACATATCAACGCAACGGCAACAAAAAAAACTTTAACAGCACTTTCTGGAAGATGCTAAGTTTTCTCTTCCATGAATGCGATTGTGATGAATCCCTAAAAGAGGCCCTGTTTGAAGTTCAAACCCTTCTCTTATGTATGTATGGCTCATTAACCCTTCCCTTACGTATGTATGGCTCCTTAAACCCTTATCTCCAGAGTTTGGTTGTTATCTACCCCCCTCCACGCCCCCCTCCACCCCCCAAATACCAATCACCTAAAAGAGAGCAAAGTACATATGGAACACTAAGGGCCGAGCACCAGCAGTTGCTATGTCTGCGCTAAGCACATAGCATGAAGCTATACACTTTTATGACCAACTTCAACAGTATTGATGCATTCTGAGCAGGGGCATAGCACCACTGAGGTCTGGCCATCAAGGCTACCGTCTACACCCAAATACAGCGTACAGTCATTATTGCTGTAGCTAGATCAACGTTGCCCCAAAGACAGCTATAATGACCGTACGATGTATTCGGGTCAAGACGGTAGGCTAGGTTAGGCTTGGTTTGCTGCAATGCTTTGCCGGGCCTTTCTTTCCCAGGCCTTCCTTTGCCTTAGCATTACGCCACAATGCGTTCCAAAGCCTTAAAACCATAACCACTGCCACCGAACCCAGATTGTCGAACCCCCTTTTTCACCGCGACCCCTGGACTTCTGTACCGTTGCCGAAGCTGGGCCTATTAGTGCCAGTTCAGCTGAGGTGGTCCCAGTCGGTTGACCCCGCATTCTGAACCATTGCCTGAGCTAGCATCTTCCCCCAAACACAATGCACCCTCATCACGACTTTATCCGACCGGAAAAATAGCTTGCATGCATTCATCGTCAGGGTGTGTTGAGTTCGGGGGTAGACAGGAGGCCTATCAAGGACGCCTCCCCTGAGGTGGTCCCAGTGAGCTTTAGGTTGTCCCCGTACAGAGACTCGTCTCAGCCCATGCCTCCGTGTATATCAGCAGAATCGCAAAGTGCTGCCACACAAGGCAGTGGTGGCTTAAGGTTTAGGCCCTTTAGGGTTACCTTAACTCCTTTAGGGTCAGGCTGGGGTTAAGCTAAAGTGACGCCAGCGCAAGTCAAGGAAAGCAAAAAAAAATATGAAGTCTAACTTAAGGTCATCCTGGAGTCACGTTAAAAGTGAAACCAACCCAAGTCCAGAAAGCAAAGCAAAGCAAAGCAAAGCAAAGCAAAGGAAAGCAAAGCAAAGAGCTACAGTGCAGTAAGTCGAGCCTTGAGATTACTTCATCAGCTTTAACCCCC